CTTTTTGTATCAAAAGTTGTAAAAATTTTGTACAGTTCCCAGTTGGCGCAGAATTTAATAATACAATATACTGTTTGATTCTAAGATAGTTTCCTTGTTCTAAACAAAGGCTTCTTTTTTCCTAGAAGGATTTTAGCTGTTTGTTAACTCATTTTTGTAAATTTTACTGTTTTTTCTTAGTTCTAAATTTGGAACAGAGGATCAGCGGAAAGAGTTGTCGTTTTGTATATTAATTCCTAAATATAAATTTCTAATATACGATTAATAAATATAAAAGAGCCTAAAATATAATATCTAAATTCAAAATTGACTTAAAATATACTTAACTTCTACAAATAAATTTCATAATGGATATGAATAATATTTTTGAAATTGACACATATGAGAATTCTCTTTTTGAGTTTCCAGACTTTTATCAAGACACTTTTGATAACAATATGACCACAGCTATTGCTACTACAAGCAATGATATGAATATCGCATCTAATATTTCTGATAACTCTGTTACTTTAAATAAAAAATCTAGATCTCAACCTTCTTTTGTTAAACTATTTTTTTTCTCAAAAAACTCTTGATAGTAAAATAGTAATTTGTAGTATCTGTAAAAATCAGTATAGTGTAACTATGGCTACTAGTAACTTATACAAACACCTTGATACTCACTATCTGAGCTAGGATTCAGATAAGCAAACAGGCCAACAAAGTCTAACTTTTATATTTGAAATCACGATTTCAAAACAAATTTTAACATCAGCCCAAAAAACTAAACTTAATTGATAATCTGTGAGTCACCTAAAGAAAATGATCTACATATATTAAATAAAAGTGACGCAATTTATATAATAAAAATCCTAATATAGAAATGTAGAATTTTTTTTAACTGTTAATACGTACATACAATGTACAGTACATACATAACGTAACCCGAGATATATCATATATCTGATATTAAAAATATCGTTCTGTGGGTATTTGTTAGTTTTTTTTTTTTTAAATAAAAAATATTTTTCTTTGAAATTCTCAATTATAAACTATCAACGTTTCAACGTTGTTGACACTCTACTATTTGGCATTTGGTATCACTAATTATTTTATAAGCAGGACGGTTATATTAAAAATACCTGCGAAGCAGGTATTTTTATTATAACTGTTCTGCTTTTTTAAAAAATTAGTGACATGAAGTGTCAAAAAAAAAAATTTAAAATTTTTTTAAAAAAAAGGATGAAAGGGAGGGAGGAACAGGGAAAGAGGGTAAGAGGGAGTGGGAAAGTGGGCGTGGGAGAATAGGAGTGAGACGGAGGGAAAAAGGGTGTGGCTGTGGAGGAGTGGGGGTGAAGAGAAAACAAAAGGAAAGAGTGAAGACAGATAGAGAGAAAGAAAGAAGGAGTGAAGACAGATAGAGAGAAAGAAAGAAGGAGTGAAAATTTAAACTCCGATCGTACAACGACGAAGTCACGTGACTTCGAATTTCGCGTTCCTGCGAAATCAGAGTAGTGATTTAAGCCGGCTATAGCAGCCGTGGCTAAGCTGACTTAGCCGGCTAAGCCAGCCAATATAATATGATCGGCTGGCTAATGCGGCTAAAAATCACATGATTAGCCATGGCTAAGCCGGCTTAGCTAGCTAAGCCAGCCAATATAAAACTTTCGGCTAGCTAATGCAGCTGAGATAGCCACGGCTAAGCTGGCATAGCCGGCTAAGCCAGCTGAAACAATATGATCAGCTGGCTAATACGGCTGATAGCCATGGCTAAGTTGGCTTAATAATTATAAGCAAATTAACATTAACTTGCGCGGAGTTATAATATTAGAGTTACGGTTAAGTACTTTACTGTTTTTTTATTTTATACGTAGCTTCAAGATTTGATTAAAACTAAGATCTTTGAAATTTCTTCTACAATTCAAGAAACTACGAAGTACTAATCTAAAACAACTGTGCTTACTATCAAAAGTTGAGTTTCTTATATCCCCGACGGCATAAAAAATATATTTAATATATTTTAATATATTTAAAGTTCTTATATACTTATGCAGTATAATAGTCAACTGACTAGAAAGTTCTTTAAGGTATATGTAAAAATTTTTAAATGTTCAGTTCTTAAAGAATTATATCTCAAATCTGAACTTACTAATAAAAATTACAATGTTTTGAAATTTTTTGTTTCATTTAGAGTTTCAGTTTAAAAAGAGTTGACTATGTATATTTATATTTATTGCATTTATATCTACTTGGAAAAAATTACACGATATTTATTTAACAATGCCTTCTATTTTCTCATCAAACTAATTATATAAAATTTTTCTATTAGTAGAAATACTTGTATTATGCCATGAAAATAACAAAATTTCCTACCTAAACTTGGGTATACGGTAAAGATCTTTAAATTTTCTTTAAGAACCAATAAATTATGAACTGTATCAGGATCTAATTGATTTCGCTTATTGGTAATTGTATTGCTAGCAGTTGAAAAAACTCTTTCTGAAGGAACCGATGTGGCTGAAAAGGCTAAGTATTTTCTTGCTTGTTGAGAAAAAAGAGGAAGCATTGCTTTGCGTTCATTCCACCAAATTAACGGATTAACTTTACAATATTCTTTATCCGTTATATGATATTTAGGAATTTGAGATAAACTATCATAAAGTGCTACTTATTTTTCAATTAATGATACATTTTCAGTTTCGTTTGGAATAATGTAATCATCATCGTAAAAAGAAGAAAAAAAAGAAGAGGAATTAGTATTTAAAGGTTGGGATTCTTGAATAAAAGTAGATCGTTCTTGTGTATCAAATAAAGAATAAAGGTGAGAAATGGTTTCTCTTTTTTTACTGGCCATTACAAAATTCATTTGTTTGAATCTTGGATCCAAAAAAGCAGCTATTAGACTATGAGACGATGGCTCAGACCATCTTGACAGCATCGATTGGTTGATTTTACTGCAATAGGCTTTTACTGTTTGTGAAGTGATTGTAGGATAAAATTCTCTTAAATGACGTGAGAGCTTAATAAGAGTAGAAATTATCATTCCCAAAGTGGGATATTGGCTTCCTCCAATATATCCAGTTGCCTGCGCGAAAGGATATAAGAGTTTTGCTAACTCATCTATTGAATTCCATTCTTCTATTGATAGGAGAAGATCTGAAAGTTTTGTCCATCTTGTCGTTCTTGTCTGTTAACGCTTTGTTTTAAGTTATTAGCCAATCTTATGATAGCATTACGAAGAAGAAAAAGATTTTTTAAAAGGTTATAAGTTGAACTCCACCGAGTTCTTATATCACTTGAAAGAGGATTAACTTGGTGTTGCAGATTTAATTCAGCTTGTAATTCACGAAGGCTTTCACGGTATTTATCTTTACCACTGACATAACTATTTAATATTTTTGCTTTATTTATTAAGTTACTAACTTCTGTAATATCAAATCCATCTCCTAATGCAAGTTGTATTGTGTGCGCAGTGCAACCTAGATAAGAATTAAATTTTGCACAAAGGTTGAGATCTGTTTTACTGGAATTTATATTAAGAATAATCGCTGTTTTTGAATTAGTGCGATCATTGAATTTTGTGAATCTCACGAATCCTGCATATCGCTATTGCTTTAGCAATGGTGATATGCGGGATTCGTGAGATTCACAAAATTCAATGATCGCACTAATTCAAAAACAGCAATTATTCTTGTAAGATGGTTTTATCTATATACTCAACACCAAGTTGATCTATAGCTTTAATCATTGAAGAGGCATTATCCGTTGAAGCACCTAAAAGTTTTTCATATATTTCCCATTGGTCAAAAAGTTGGCGACAAAAATCTTCAATTCGATCACCAGTATGAGGATAATCAAATTTTTGAATTGTA